AAGGCATTAAAGTGTCTGGGAAGTATGAAACAATGCTAGTTTTAAAATACGTAGAATTGTATAATAAAAACATTCCGTAAGTTTTACAGTCAGATTCGCAACGATAACGGAGATATTCCGGGTTAAAGTAGGCGGTTCTCGCACCTGTCTAAAACCAATCAACGCTACTTCCGGTTTTACCATAAATAGCGAAAAACCCCGCATGACGTCACATCACATCAAGTTCAAAATGGCGAGTACAAACAACAACAGCGAAGCCTCCGATTCTGCGTCCGATATCGACCTACATATGTCGTTTGAGGCCTCATCCTTCGAAGAACAAGAAGAACATTTCCAGAATGTAGCCCCTTATCGATTTGAACCTGAGGCGAGTGATTCTAGTGAATCTGATGGCTCAAGTGAGGACGATGTCGACAACCCACAGCGGCTCGGCAATACGGACTGGTATGACTTTCACGTTAAAACTCTCTGGTATAATACAAAGAAAAATATATATTTTATACTCATAGAATTTCGCATGGTCTGAACTAATAATAATTAATAAAAATATTACTATATAAGCCAAATGTTGCGAGAAATGAGGCCATGTAAATTACACCCATGCAACATGGCTGAACATTCGTTCGGGACGACCATTTGAATCTTATGGGCTAGCAGATTTAGATCTATTCTTGAAAATTGTCTCAATGAGAAGGAAATAATTAATCTGATCTTGAAAAGTGGTATATACACGCCCAAAGAATTTACTACTTCTTTGTAGCTTGTCAACTTTTCTGGTCTCTATAGTCATGGAGTTTGGACATGTTTTTTTTTTTTCTGCGATGGCAGAAAATTAAGATGACAACTAAATTTGTCAGAACCTCTAACTCTGAGAATAAAATTTTGCCCCTTTACAGGCCCGTAGGAAGCAATTTCAGTTGGGGGGGGGGGGCACAGCTGAACATTTTCAGTTGGGGGAGGCACTATCAACTACCAAAATTCCTTGACAAGCAAAAAAAAAAGGTCATCAGACGTTTTCATTGAGGGGGCACAAGCAACAAGCATATAGTAGCTATGTTTTCTATAGTAATCTAGATATCGGCAAAATTATTTGAGGGGGACAACCCCCCCTTCCTACGGCCATGCTTTATACCTGATGATAAGTTGAAAACAAAAACTGTATTGCTCTATGCACATTATCTACATGTATGGGACTTCTGGAGTATTTTTTTTTAAAGATTAAAGTTGATAAATAATCATTATGTCTAATGCATCTTCGTAAGCCAAGGGTTTTCGGTCTGCTTCGCGGGGAGAAAAGTGGACCGAAAACCCTTGGCTTGCGAAGATGTGTCTAATATAACTTCCATGTAATCATGTTTGAATATTGTAGGTGCACTTGTGGATTCTGTACTCCGAAACCCACACTCAGAGAAAGTATATGCTGCACTGAAATCACCAGGATTGATGAAAAGAGAACATCTTATCAGAAAGAATTGCCTTGCATTACAGAACACCCTGGATTCCAATCTGTTTGTCTCGACATCTACGTCTTGGAGACAGCCTATTATCAGTATCGTTCCCAGTATGGGGAATTGCAAAAGACCATTGAACAGTAAGACATTTTATTGAATTTTTACATATTTGTTCCAAAAATGAAATAAAGCATTTGAAGAAAATCACAAAGACTATCACAAGTAATAACAAGTGCATGATAACATGATTTTCTTTTATTCAATTACAGAAGAAACAGATATACAGCATATCGTCAGCTTGTTCGTTGGTGTTGGGGCTACTTGGGGAAGAGTGTTCGTGTCCCACTTCCCTCTTGTGCAGTTACAAAGATACACCATTCCTTCAGTTCTGAAGAGTATCAAGGATTCAGAGACCCTGAATGAGTAAGCCACTTCTATATTTTGGATTAACAAAAATTCACCATATTATCAACTTTTACTATCAATTTTACAAATTAAATAAATATAAAGTTTACACAGCATAAATCTTATAAATGAGAAATGGTTAAGCATAGGATACAGAAAACAACCTTGTCTAGTCACACATACAAGCAAAAAGCAGTTCAAAATAATTGACAAAACATAAGCCTCGTGTACATATTACAATAAAATTTATAAAAGCATCAGCTACAAAAAAAATCTTGATTACATAGGTAAACAATTTTTTTTGCACCCAGGAACGGGACGTGGACCCTGCTTTTTTTGTTCCCATTTTTTTTTTTTTTTTTTGCAATTTTATTTTTGTTTTCCTACATGCAAATTTACAAGTAAATGCTAACTATAACACTATTTATACAATTATTTACAAACAGACTATGACAAACTACAGTATGAGTATCCACAACTGATATTTACAGTTCTATGTATACAAGGGCTAGAATCTCCTACACAGATGTCTCCTTCCTCCCAAACCGAGACTGGAAATTAAACACTGCTTCCTCCTTTTCAGGGTGAAGAAAATCACTGCACAGAGGAGGTGGTTGCAACTGAGGCAAACAGAGCGCAGGTGGAAAGGCGGGTGCTGGTGTCCGGGATGATACCTCAACGTATCGTAGAGTCTCTGTCATCAAATCAGATGCATACCCTGAAATGCATAGACAATATTTAAAATTTGTAAAATATTGAGGACTCTATCTCTGTTGATGAATACAAGTATCATTCTCGTGTTTTGCTTGGTATTGAATAAAATTAAATTCAACATATTTTGTTATTTATATATACATTTTTTTTTTGGGTTGTTCAATTTTTAAATGAGGAGGGACTTTTACAATTTTTTTTTTTCTTAAAGGTGCGTTAATAAAAGCATCTTACCAAACGTTGAATCTACAGTCTTCATGCGAACACTATATTCGCCATGCTTGAACTTGGGAAAGCTGATCTTGTACTGCAGGTTTCCCTCCTTTGTAACTGCCTGCATTCTTGAAGAGTTCTCATTAAAATGGAGAGCAGCAACCATCAACCTACATAAAATTTTTAACCTTGTAGATTACAATAAATAAAATCTCCATCTGCTTTCTGTATTGTAGAAATTTAAATAAGAAATGATATAAAAAAATATCCAATATTACTGTGTAAGCATACCTGCAGTACATGCCATGATAAGAGAAGGAAGCCATCTTGGGGGCAAAGTGATTGATAGTGCTATGGAAAGCCTCAATCTGGGATGTTTGGTGCAGTGGGGACAGCTTGGGTATATCTTTCTTCATCTGATTGGACAGGATAATATCGCAAATCTTCTCACTGGCTTTCGTTCCTTTATGAAAACAAAATGTATACTTATTGTACAGGATTTTTCCCTTTAACAAGGCAGTTATGAAATTTGCCAATAAAGAAAGTAATAATTATTTATCAATTCTAAAATAAGGTTTTACCTGGTTTTATCCACTTCTTTTTCTGCTCATCACCCTCTAACGTGTCATGGGCACAAGATGGGAAGAGGTCATTGTGGCCCTCATGAATATTGTGGATATGGTTTTCCACAGACTCCCACTTTGCCCACATGAAGTCCCCATTCCCATCAGGTGTTCAAGCTGCCACCCAGTACAAGTGGTTGGTCAAGCTCTTGATCCATTTGGCAAGATTCTCACACTCCTTCTGTTTGGATGCAGCTAGGATCTTTTTCTTTAGACCTGAAAATATTTTGGAAGCCATGTTTACAGAGTAAAATTAATATGTCCCATCTTAAGATGGGCATATAAAAATCATAATTTAACTGCTTCATTTCATCTTTTACATTCATAACTTTTTAAATCATACATGTAAATAATAACTTTGGAGATAACTCAGTAGAAGTCATTATAAAAGTTAAACATCAGCTAATGTTGATTCTGTACAAAGATGTCTTTAAATACATACAATTCAAATACTGGTAAAGAAAGAAAAGAAAAAGAATACCTTTTGCCACATGCCAAACATCATAATAGTGTGTCGTCTCCGTCAAGTTCTCCCTGATCCACTTTTGTATCTGGACATGGCGGTCAGTCACTATCGTACCAATCTCCAAATCTTGGTCTTTCATCCAGGCAATAGTCCGCTCTAATCCCTTCTTCTCCATTCCCAAGCTGTTTTTTACTTCATTGCTCTACAAAATTTAATCAGATTTCATTAACTTCACAAAACTTCAACCAAACACCTAAAGTTAGTACACATTTTTTCCCCTCATTAGATCCTTTTTAGCATTTTATTTTCATGTATACTTTGTTGAATCTTTTCAGCAGTGTTTGAGTGATTGTTTTATTTAAAATAATGATAAAATAATATATTTTTTTTTAAAACAGTTCATCTTTAATTTAAATAAAAAGTGCAGATATTTATCGAAATAACTTGTTTACCTGAACCAGCTGGATATCAATGACAATTCCTTCCTCAAGGTCAATGGTGCTGTACGAGCCAAACTTTGCACAGTGACCAGGGGAGTCAGCTCGCCCATCTCCACCAATAACCAGAGGATCTCCTCTTTCCAAAGCTCGACTTGCATACTCCTGCTGGTGCTTGTCCCACACACGAGCAATTACAGGAAACAAAATGGCTGACTGGTGGGAATTGAATGTTCTTCTGGTAATGGTTGCAACCCCCATGCAGTTCAGCACACGAAGAACTTTGGACACAAGGGCACCAGAAAACAGTATGGCGGCAGATAACCCAATGTTCCCAACAGGAATATTCCCAATGAATGGCTGACTGCTCCACTGCCAGGTAAACCCACAGAACTCACACTCCACAGCAATCTTCACCATTGTTCCAAGCACCTGCTGTACACTTGCTGCTGTATACTTGTGGCACCTCCTGCAGTTACTGAACAGCTCAAGCAGCTTGGTTTCGGAGATGATAAACTTCCTGTCTTCCAAGGGGTTGCAGGGTGCTTCAGTGCTACAATTTTTAAAAGATTAAATTAATTACAGGGAAATAAAAATTGCCAAAAGAATTGAGGCTAACATATTCATTTTCTCTTCATAGTAAACTTTTTGAAGCAATTCTTAGGTAACTGATCAATGACCATAGCCTAATCACTTACTTGGTATCCTGTACATGAGAATCATCTGAACTAGTGCCAGAAGGTTCATACAATGAGGCAGTCTCATTCTCCGTCTGGATAGACTCTTCACCACTAGAGGAATCAGGAACAGGAACAGGTGCTGGAGGTGGACGTGGAGCAGGCAAATCATCTCGTACATCAACCTGAATACCAATGCTTCGAACTCTGGGTTGTAGGTCAACTTGTAATCCTATCAAATTACATATAAACATTATATGTCATTGTGAGAAAACAAGATTTTTCTCTTAAAATTTATATTTAGGAGGAAGAACAATGATCTAATTAGTCTTATGCATATGAACTTGCAATTTTTTAAAATTGAATACTACACACAAATTAGGTACTGATAAGTTAAATGTTTTCCTCTCTTTTCAAAATTTAAAAAGAAATGGTGAAAGGGGGTATATAAACGATACTACATAATATAATTCAGTTATAATAATCATCAATGAGTAAATATGTAATAATCCCTGAATGTATGTCTTTCAATACCAGCTTAGGGGTCATAGTCCATAAATGTACATGTTCTAATATAATAAATGTTTTTTAAAAAAAAGCCAAACTAGCCATGGGGAATCAGATTGAGAGTACCAGGTATATTGCAGTAATAATCAAAGAATAAAGAATGACAATTACAACATATTATTATCTTATGTTGCAACAAGTTACTTCGAATAAGTACCTTTTTCCTTATTCCTTGCAGCAACTTGAATCTTTACGCTACGTTTTCGTGTTGATTCTGTCTGACATGCCATAGACACACTTTTCTCCTCCTAAAATGAACAGAAAAAAGATTAATAAGTAATCCGTAGAATTATAATTGTGGCCTGCATACTTTACAGCAATATTTTTATCTCTTTTCTTTAATAATACTCGTATGAATAGTATACAATTTTTTCTTCCTTTCACTAAATTTAGAACAAGTGCAAGTTTCTGTTTTATTTCATAATAGTTTACTCATACACATATGGACTTATTTGCATAGAGTCTAGTATTGTGGACATGTTAAGCAGGAAATTTAGATTTGGTTATTACTTATTTAGGGTCAAGTAATTTAAATTCAGAAGAACACAGCGATGAAGAATGTAATAACCATCTCTTTTAATCTTATATCTGAACTGAATAAATCTTCATGATATTGTGAATAATGCACAAGATGCATGATAACATCATTTATATTTAACAAAATAATCATTGAACTTTTTCTTAAATGAGGCAAGCTGACAAATTTATACTACATTTTTTATTTCGTATATTTTTGTTGACCTAATCAATCTGTGCAGAGTTATCTTAATTATGCCCAAACAAAAGTCATAGGAGATGTCAATTTAAATAAACATATCTCTTACTACACATCGGATCCTCACCAATCTATCCTTGTTTAATACGCAATACAGTAATAACCAACTTATCAGTTGTAAAAATCATTCTTACATTCATGGTCCTCATGGGACTTAGAACCGAAAGTTGAATAGCAAGTTGAATACCGATCCCAATCGGAATCAAGATGAAGAATTTAACAGAAAAGAAATTGAGACAGAATTAGATGAGAATCTAGGATTTTTTTTTTTTTTAAATAATGGCCTAAAAAAAGATAAATCAAAGATGCATCAGCATGTGGAATAAGAAGAGAAAATTTAATAAAATCATTCTTTCTTTTCAGTTGGTTTAGTACTACATATATTGTGTAAACATAATTATATAAAGCTAAGGTGCAAGGAATGTAACAATTTACACATTTCTCTCTATTTTTTTTTTTTTTTTTGGTTCTTAAATATGTTATAACATACCGAAACAGGTGTGGGAAAGGGAACAGGCGTTGTTTGGATCCCAACACATTCATCCTGGTCTTGCGACTCTTCCTGTATTTCTTCAACCTCTGTGTTGTCATGAAGCAGCTCTGCCAATACCTGCGATAAAATAATGAACAAATTTTAACACAAACAAATAATATAAATTTGAATAAGTTTAAGATATTTCAGTGAATACCCAGTGTAATTTACTTTCTGTTTAACAAACAAAGAACATGAAAGCATTTTTAGTGCAGATGAGGTCTTTTTTCTTATTCCGAATTTTCTCACCAAAAGTCTACAAATTTCTGAAGTTAATATTTTTTTATTATCGAATCACCACCATTTATAGATTAAAACAAAATAGAATAGAACAAAAAAAACTAACCCTATTCCTCTCACGCTTTGCATGGGCTCCTCGTACTGGAGTAGGGGTGTTTACATGGGGAGGGTTGTATGTTCGTTCGCCCTAAAACTTGTTCGCCCTTGACGCCGTTCGCCCTCATTCCCGTTCGCCCAGAGTCCGATCGCCCTGAAACTTGTTCGCACAGGGTCCGTTCGTCTTATTTATATTGCAGAAAGTTGAATAATGAACCAATGGATTTTTTAAATAAATTGTATGTACATTGGTTCATAAATTGCACACGGGAGACAACAGACGTATGCATGTGGTCACACTATAAATACCTGTCCTATCAAAGACCCGGCAGACCAACAGAAATTAACGTCTCAGTCCTTTAATTGTTTTCAAAACTTACAGTGACATAATTAAGTATAATTAAATCAATTAAGCATGTAAAGAGCATAAATATCAAATTTGAAGATTACGGTAAATAAAAAAAAATTCTGTAGTAACATTTGGAAAAAAAAACACCAAGTCGTAAAATATTGAATAAAATTAATAATAAATGTTGATATTTATTATTTACTGTATATATAATAGGGCGAACGAGATATAGGGCGAACAAGAATAATGGCGAACGGACCTTGCGCGAACGGACTCGTGCGAACAGGTAGATAGGGCGAACGAACCCGATACCCATGGGGAGACTCCAGGAACGCATCGTTCAGTTGGTCTCTTTTCCGCTTGGGATATATGCTTGGTATGGACCCCTGGCGTAGACGCTTCTTCGCTGGGATCCCAAAGTCCTTCATGAGCGAGAAATGTACCTCATAGCAATCCTCGTTGAAATGGTCACTGCAGATAACGGTGTATTTCGAAGGACCAGACCAGTCTGCCCTCGTCAGCTTCACAAAACGACACCAGGCCGCTCGCAGTCGCTCATCTTTGGGGAAAACATGAACCGACACGCCATCTGACTGTCTTTTGCTGCATCCCGCTACAACACACATGCGTCCGACACTTTTGCTGGCCATTATTCGCCGGAAAACACGCACAGGTCAATAGAAGACTTTCTAAAAATGGCGGAAACTGATGTGTTGTGACGTCACTTCCGTTTTAGCTAGGAATAGCCTCGTTTTCGGTATCGTAAAGGTGTATATTTTTAAAATTTTCAGTTTTTTGGCAATATCTCCTTTATAAAATCGACTTTGTTGGAAAAACTTGCTTTTCTAGATATTTTAATACTTAAACAAAATATATAATACCACTTTATCATCTACTTCCCAGACACTTTAATACTTATTAAATAAATATATAATAAATACTGGTACTTAGGCCCATGCATTGGTACAGTCAAAGATGGGAAAACGGTGTTACCTCTCTTTGGTCCAAATGAAACTATTACCAAAGAATAAAAACAAACAAAAAATCATTTGAAAAACATAAAACATGCTTGTATTTAATACATACACATAGTCACATACTATAATACTTCTTCCAAGGCATGAACATGTACTGGAATAAGTGTCGTGCCAGCTGTATAAATTCATTTGAATTTTTAAAATTTAGTAATACAAGTATCCACAGTAACATGATCAAATATTTTTTTCCAAATCCTCCAGTAAGAAGAATGCAAATGAGACTAGTATACACAGACCATTGCTTGTATAATCCCTCTGCCCCCCCCCCCCCCCCCCCCACCTCAAATGAAATACATGTACAACCTAGGCATTCAGTTTAAAATTTGTATGAAAAGTGTGGAACTGTGTCCCTTACAGCTCAATACAGATTCTATGGTGCTTGAACATAACACAGACCAACTTATTTCAGATCAGTACTCCAGAAAGTCACTGAAACCAAAGAAAATAAGCTCCATTATTGCTTAAATTGTTACAATCATATCCCTAAAAATTCATACACATCCAATTTGAAATGCAGATTACTTCAGGTTATGTGTGAATTAAAAAAAAAAAGAATTCTCATCAAGTATAAAATTATAATATAAATGCTATAGAAAACAATTTGATTTGCTTAATATCTTATTTATTATAGGAAATAATGAGTATTTTTGGGTGTATAAATAACTTCTTCAAAATTTCTACATTAATACAATGTGCTATCAGAAAACATACAATGTACATCAAATTTTCTTTGTTTATAGTTAAGTAAAAAAGCAAACTTTCTTCTCTTATCCTGTTAGATTACATTCCCCATTTTTATTCTTTTATTTCAATTGCATAAAAATTGCCTATGATTTTAATATTATACATGTAATTTATATGTTATCTCATGCACTAAACACAGAAAGATGATTACAGAATAGTTCAAATAAATAATGTACATCCCTGAGTGAAAATCAAAATGTTTTGCCATAATGAATATATATAAATTACACAGAAAATATACCAAAATCTTTAGATGTGAAAAGTTCAAACAAAAGCTAACATTTGTGCATTCTGAAATGTCAAGGACTCATCATTTTGACAGAAATTAAATTAAAAACAATTTTGCCACACATTATGTACCTTGGCTAATTGACTGAAAGTACAACTACAGTGTAAAATGATCAAGATATCCAAGCCATTTACACTATTCAGATTAAAAAAAAAGAAAGAAAAATTTTGCAATTACAAAACATTCGACATTGAAGAATGATACTTTTCAACTGTATCTATTGCATTCTGAATTGAACTTATGTTTCCAACTTTGTTCACAATGTTTAGCTGAAGAGATAAGTATTCAAATTCTGAAAGAAATATAAGACTGACACAAGATTCTGAGGGATGTACATTTTTACACAAATATACTTCAGTGAAAGTAGATATATATGACAATACAGTTAAATAAGAAAAATAAATAGTTGATCAAATATCTGGAAGATAAACTATAAATCTATCTTAGCATTAAATCTATTGGGAATAAACTTTTTTTTTTCAAAACAAATTGAACTCCTACATGCACACAATATATTATTTCACCTTGGCAAACACTGGACAGAAAACATTTCCTTTTCATCATGTGCAATTCAATAAAGTCACAATTCATATAAAAAAAAAAAAATTCAATGTTATGCACTTAAGCTGTTTAATAAATTTTCCTCAACAATATCTGATGTGACTATTACCATTTTGATTTCATTTTACACCAGAATAAAGCATGCATAATCTTATACACTCACTGAATCAAAGGACTGTAAAGCATTCTGTGCACCACCTTTTGGCAAGCCAAATTTAGTTATCATATATAGAGTTCTAGAAAAAAACATTCCCTTTTTTAAACAAATCTCCAATTATGTGAAGCAAAATGCATCAAATATTATCTCCTTTAATATTTAGGTGTTTAAGCTTAACATCCATAATTTATCAACTGAGATGTGACCACAATTTAACCAGATGTCTCTGATGACATTGAAGCTCTACTGGTTTCACTTCATAACAGTCTAAAATTCATACCTGGGACAGTGGCATATATTCCATATAGGCTAAAAGGCTGTAGCCTGCACATCATTTTCTCAGGGATAAAAATTTGGTTGAAAAAAGAGGGAGAACAGTTGACAATAAATCTTATCTATTAATTTTATTTTGTTGCAAATGCCAAAAAAAAAAGCATACTTAGCAATCCGCACTTTACCTATCCAGCGTTTACAGTTTTACTTTATATTTATTAATAACATACTTCTTAATTCCTATAACTGGAATTTTTAAAGCCAAAATTCAAGTGATATACTAAGTCTGTATCAGACAATTTCAAAACCATCGACAGCAACAGGAGTCCATGATTAGTGCAGGAAATAAAATAAATTGGTGAAAATATTTTTGGTTAGTAGGAATGTTCCTAATTGGATTATTCAGTAAGGAATTTCCATATTTTCTAAGCAGAGTAAAAGAGTAAAAGTTCTCAGTTTTGTTAAGTGGTCTTCATATCATGATATAAACTGAAAATATGCTTATAATATTATTTTCACTGGTCAAATGACAATCACAGATGTCTTTGAGTTCGCAAAAATGCTCCCTCTGAACCCCCCCCCCCCTCAATTCCCTATCCCTATGGAGAGGAGACGACCCACTCCTCGCTTTCCCACACTTTGGGCCTTAGGTTAAATCTATGACACTAGCCTACACATTAGCAGAAAGGAATATACGCCACTGTGGGAGTATCTACTGTTTTTAATTTTTACATTTTTAAACCTGTACCAAGTTTTACTCAAACAAAACCAAAGTCTTATGCAAGTTTATAAAGCATTTTTAAAGATTTTAAAAAAGTTTTCTATATTTAGTAGGTATAGCAATTCTAATAAAAAACAAAAATCATAATACAGAATGATGTGTCTTAATGTAATCAACTTATTTAAATATTAGACAAAACTGCAGCAAGACATAGCATTTTTGAAATTTTTCACACATTATTTTAAATACAGCAACAATAGCAAGACAATAAGTTGAAATCAAAATCTGAATGACAGAATACCATATCTTGATTCATGTATACCAATAGTCAGAGTATGTACCTGGTGTACTATGTTTTATTGAATCAGACCAAAACTGTAAGAGGAGTAGCATTTTGAAAGAGTTCCACTTCTAGCACTCTATGTAATCCTGACATTGTTCATTTACTTTCAAACAAGAGGCCCAAGGGCCTTAACGGTCACCTGAGTATAAAACAACAATCCATATAAGATCCATAGAGTATAAAATAAACTGATAGAAGGAGCTTTTGTAAATCTTTGATTGTCCATTGTGGCCCCACCCTATCCCCAGAAACCAGAGTCATGATTTGAACAAAGTTGAATCTATACTACCTGAGGATGTATCCATGTAAATATAACCAATCATGGTTTTGCTGTTCTTGAGAAAAGAATTTTTTTCAAGATTTTTCCTACATATTCCAATATAAAACTTTCATTGTCCATTGTGGCCCATCCTACCCCTGGGGATCATGGTTTTAACAAACTTGAATCTACACTACGGAAGATGTTTCCACATTTCATCTTCCCTGGCCCAGTGGTTCTGGAGAAGATTTTTCCAATGTATTCCCATGTAAAACTTTGATCATGCATTGTGGACCTGCCCTACCCCTGGGGGTCAAGATTTGAACAAATTTGAATCTACACTACCTGAGGATGTTTCCAGATAAGTTTCATTTTTCTTGGCCCAGTGGTTCTGGAGAAGAAAATTTGTAAAGATTTTTTCTATGTATTTCTATGTAAAACTACGATCATATCAAAATGACTAATCATGGCTTTGCAGTTCTTGAGAAGAAATTTTCCTATAAATTCCTATGTAAGACTTTGATCCTCCATTGTGGCTCCGCCCTATCCCGGGGGTCATTATTTGAACAAACTTGAATCTACACTACCTGAGGATACTTCCATATAAATATGACTCATCATGACTTTGCTGTTCTTGAGAAGAAGATTTTTAAAGATTTTTCCTATATATTTCTATGTAAAACTTTGATCGTCCATTGTCGCCCCACCTTACCCCCCAGGGTCATGATTTGAACAAACTTGAATCTACACTACCTGAAGATGATTCCATATAAATATGACTCATCATGACTTTGCTGTTCTTGAGATGAAGATTTTTTAAGATTTTTCCTATATATTTCTATGTAAACTTTGATCATCCATTGTGGTCCCACCCTACCCCGGGGGGGGGGGGGGGGGGGGGGGGGAGGGGGTTCAGGATTTGAACAAACTTGAATCTACACTATCTGAGGATGCTTCCATTTAAATATGACCAATCAGGGCTTAGCTGTTCCTGAGAAGAAGATTTTTCCTATATATCTCTATGTAAAACTTTGATCATCCATTGTGGCCCCGCCCTACCCCCGGGAGTCATGATTTCAACAAACTTGAATCTACACTACCTGAGGATGCTTCCATATAAATATGACTCATCATGACTTTGCTGTTCTTGAGAAGAAGATTTTTAAAGATTTTTCCTATATATTTCTATGTAAACTTTGATCATCCATTGTGGCCCCACACTACCCCCGGGGGTCATGATTTGAACAAATTTGAATTTATACTACCTGAGGATGCTTCCATATAAATATGACCAATCAGGGCTTAGTTGTTCCTGAGAAGAAGAATTTTAAAGATTTTTCCTATATATCTCTATGTAAAACTTTGATCGTCCATTGTGGTCCCACCCTACCCCTGGGGGTCATGATTTTAACAAACTTGAGTCTACACTACCTGATGATGTTTCCATATCAGTTTCATCTTACCTGGTCCAGTGGTTCTTGAGAAGAAGATTTTTAAAAGATACCATTAATTTTTCACTAATTCTTCATTATCTCCCCTTGGAAGAAGGCGTGACCCTTCATTTGAACAAACTTGAATCCCCTTCACCCAAGGATGCTTTATGGCAAGTTTGGTGGAAATTGGCCCAGTGGTTCTTGAGAAGAAGTCGAAAATGTGAAAAGTTTACGCATGACGCACACCAGCACGACGACGGACGAAAACAGATAGCAATAGGTCACCTGAGTGACTCAGGTGACCTAAAAAGTCAACAGATTTATATTCATGATTTAGTCTTGTTGTGCATACTTGTATTATTATAGTTTTCTTGTGTAGAGTCTTCTTGAAATACACCCAAAACTTTTGAAGGAGTAACATTTAAAAAAAACAAGCAAACAGATGCACTGGTGGATGACATACACCTAACCAATACATAAACTCTCATTGTCTCTGGCCAGTAGAGCTAAAAATAGACATACTATCATTTATATGTATAGTTTCATGCAGTACAGAGCAATATTGTAGTTACAAAATATATGACAAAATTAATTGCAGATGGCTGATCATGTGGTAGCACAGTTAAGAAAGCATGGCAACCTACAGCATTCTGTGTCTATGTACGTCTTTTATCAGGCATAACGTTGGGATGTGTGATTAACAACCTGTAGTAATGGGATAAGCATATACTAAATTCATGCTCTGGGAGTCTACACTATGCTCCAGTTTTATATGTGACCCTTTATGTGTTTTTCAAGCTAACATGCCAGGTTGTATCACCTCTGTGCATTTGAGTTTGGAATGGACTGAGTTCTATGAGTGGTGCGCACTTGTCGCTGTTTGGCAAGAAATGACTGTCCTTGAGTGTTTAAACGCTCCTCTGCTGCTTGGCGATTCAACTGCATGCCCTAAACATGAAACAACAAAAACGTCAATGTTTCTCACCCATTGCACTTTTGCTATGGAACAACCTTCTATTCAACAGAAATAGGACAAATACAACAATATTAATAACACAGAAAGAAGCAAAACTGTTCTTTTTACTTCATGTTCATTGCAATTATGGTGTATATATTTAAAGAAACAATTTCTTGGTGGGCCTTCTTGTAACCTTTGGGTGTCAATAAGTATACTTACAATGTTATACCAGGCAGAAACTATGTATTTTTCTTCTTGATCACGTATACTCTTAGCTTTTTCATTCTCTTTCTACAACCAATCAAAAATACAAGTGAATCATCAATTATCAAAATGAAAAAAACAAAACTCCCTGAAATGAGATTGAATCATATGCATATAGTGACAAATAAAAATATAATGGCATTTAGCCATATCAAAGAGGAAGCATTGAAATATCATGCATCAAACATGCTTTTGGACAAATCATTGAAACTTCATGAAGTTGGTATTTAAAACAAATAACATATTTCTATCATTTGAAATTCATAAAATGTAAATTGACTACCAAGAGTTCACACACTCTTTAGTTTTTAGTTTCATATTAGCACCAGATTTTATTGCCTTTTTGAACTTATAAGATAAAGGTGGGTGCAGAAGATGAATCCTACATTTATTTATATCAAGATGATCCTTTTTCAAAAAAAAAACTTTATACAAGGAATATCATTTTTTGTGAATATGACTTGATAGTCTACATTGGATAAATTTGGATCACACACTAATTAGCAAAAGCAGAGAGCCCATCTATTCGAGATTTATCACATGCTTCATAGTCAGTTATATCATTATCACTCTGGACATATTCACTTACCGGTATTTATATATTTACAATTTCACTTCACAGTTTCTATAATTTTACCTCTAAATCAAACTAAACAATAAACATATATGAGAAATTGTGAGTAGGCAGACACAGAAACTATAATTTAACAATTTGTGATTGCCTTGCCTTCCTCTAAGCCTCTCTCTTCCAAATCAATAATATAATCATGCCTTCCAAAGTAAATACATGTACAACCATATAGGAACACAGAGAAATAGTTCAGAGGTGATATGAGACACCATGCGGTTAAACAGGTATAATCCCAACTTTACTGGTACTAATATTATTGACCAAACATTGGCAAATGTAAATTTTACTTTGATTTTTTAATATACTATTTTCCAAAGGTTGTGGTTTAAATGTTTTTTTTTTTTAACTAATTATGTTAATTTCACTATATTTGTTTTTTTTTTCTTTTACCTCAATGAGAGCTATGTATTTGTCCTTCTCGTGGAGCTGGTTTTTCAGAGCTTGAACTTCAGCCGATGTGCTGCTGTTTTGTTTGGGGTCAATTGCTTTAAACACCTGAGATGTTTATAATGATGAAATATTAGAACAAAAGGATACAATGCAGATTTTACAGACATGCTTAACTCACAGATAACAGGCAAAAATCAATTAATCTAAATACAACATGCACTGAAATAAAGAAACAAAATTAAGATATAAACTACTTAGTTACATAACACACTGAAGATATACTAAAAATGTTGATAGAGTAATATTACTGTGACACTGTCCTATGCTAATTTAATTCATTTGATACATTATTTTTTCTCAAAGATAGCTCACAGTAAATATACACTAACTCTTAAAATGAAAAACTTATCTTTTCTTTATTTCATGCATCACATATTGTATACAACTTGATATGTTGTTGCTGCTAAGCTAAAGATGTTTTATGACCTTAACTCCAATGTCATAACTCAATGGTTAAGGTCAAATAGTATGGCAAAGGGGGCGACATCACCCTTTTTGTCAAAAACAATTTCTTTTTGCTATTTTCTTTATTGAAAGGACACAAGTATTAAATCAGTACTGTAGTCTAAACAACAGTGACAAATAACTGTAAAAAAAATGGTAGAGAAAATTATGAAATAATATGAGCCAAAAATATTATTTAGTAACACGACGCTCAGAAATCATTAGCAAAATCAAAGTTGTATACTTCATATAGTGTGAAAACTAAAATTTATTTCCAGAAACCATTTTGTGACTTTAACCTTAAAAATATATTATGCGTGAAATAACAGGTATATAATGAGTAAAAATGATTTTTTTTCAATTTCGTAAAATAATATAGCATATAGAAATGAAAGATTGACAGACCATATTGGACATCAAGAGCTTTAAATGATGGGAACACATATCCTGACATGTAGTACAACAATGATTTATTTCTAGACACTCTTTCTGAATCCTCTTTCAATCAGCTATTTTCCATATCTATAGACAAAGCGTGTAAATTTCAAACCTTACCCAGCTTTCTACATAAAGTAACAAAGTGGAGAGGAAATGTCACAGAAAAGGAGAAATTACTTACCGCCCTGGCCTTTTCTAAATATTTACTGTATCGCGCCTCCATCAGCTTCATTTCATTGTCTTTCTTATTTAGCAAGTCCTGTAACTCTTGCACTTTCTGAGACTGTTCATTGTATTTCTTTTCAAGATCTTCTTGCAATTCTTTGTTTTTAGACAGCGCATTGTCTTTTTCTTGAGTCCTCTGAATCTGCTCGTTTAACTTTTTCTTGATGTCCGCCACTTCTTCACTAGACACAGTGTTCTGATTTTCATGAATGTCCTCCACCTGAGCCTCTAACTCCATGATTCTTTGGTTTGCAATTCTGTATACCATATAAACAAATATTAATACAAGGTCAACATTAAAATTTACCTTACCCACGATTTCTCTTTCTCCATGTATCAAATCTAATTGAAAGCATCCTTTACAAATACAGCAACAATATTCTGTTCATTTACATGAACATGGAAATTTCTATCATAGCTGCATTCATAATCGTACCAGCTATGCCTGCTCATAGGTGCAAGATATAGAGCCCTTATAAATTAACTACTATACTAGCCACTGAGCATCAGATTTTGAGTGTAAATATCTTATTTAAAATAAATTGCTGATACAGTTTGGCTAAATTAAAGTGAATTAACATTCATTTTATTTCCAGAGATGGAGAAAACAACGAATTATGTGTCAAAATTGATATGAAGTAAGACGGCCAGTTCAGATTTGGTATAAATACAATTTTATGTTAGCTCTCCACCAGAGGCTAGTGTAGCATTTTCTTCAATATTATACAGCTACATAGGTCTACGTAACTTCTATGTTTTTCAACACACCTCTTATCTTTTCTTCAGTCTTAATGTGAGATAAATTAGGATGTCATTTAATTCTTCATAGCATATAAATTGGAGAGAAATTGAATAAAAAAATGTGCATGGTTTTAAGTGAGCAGTTACACTTTTCATGCCTTTATAGCAATAATGATGTAATCCTCTTTGTGCAAAGAGCAAGAGCCACTTGGGGCCTTTTTTGGCCCTGAGAATTTCTGAAAAATGGAAACTGCTCAGTTTTGGTTGAAAATGCAGTATTTATAACTTGGACCCTTGATGACCTTGTATCTATTGAACATGACGTATTTTTCTCTCTAGTCAATGCATTATGACATCATAAAATGCGTCATTTTTCCATATTCTGTAAATTCACTTAAAAATGGCCAAAAGTTGAGGTATTTTTTCAATATTTCATATAGAGCACAATCTCTGATCCAAAATATGCAATTATATAATGAAAGATCTATTTCTGAAGATCACAAAACATGTTTTTTAATTTTTGGATCGTGGGCTGTGCTCGTAATTTAATTCTTTGCTGAAGGTAGTCAAATTCATATGTTTTCTGCAAAATTCAAGAACATTGCATTTTCTAAAATCCTGTTTTCCAATACCTGGATTCTCTAAAAGAAATTTTGTTATAGGAAATGAAAGCACTAAGTCTCTACTTTATTTTGATATATGAAATGGGTCAGAGAGTGATAGTCAATTAAATGATATAAGGACAGGGCCATTTTATGCATAAAGTGAACCTAGCTCTTTACTTTGGAAAGAAATTTTTTTTTAAATTAGATGAATACTATTCATTTGCATGTTAAAGAAAATCTTCATTCACTCCTCATATATATATTTTTGTAATTTGTATACCCGATGTTTTTTAAAATTTTTTTCCCCCAAATTTGAATTAAACAATGCATTCTCTAGAAAGTACAAAACCAATTAATGTTGCTATAATGGGATGGATATCTCCACAAGGTACAACAAAGCATGCATCTTATTAAATATTCACAGGTACACCATATCTGCAAGTTTGGAATGGATATCCTTGAGATTTAATGTAAGCGCTGGGCTTCACCTTGCATTTTGAGCTATACTGTCTCCCCCTACAATTTGTTGTGGGGGTTATAACTTCTACATACATACCACTAATAAACAGAGGTCATAAAAGTGAAATATACAAAATGATAAAAATGACCAGGAAAGTCTAAGAACATCATTCAGAGTCCAACAAACAAGCTATAACAATAAACACTGTATCATCATATGGCAAAACCAAAAAAAACTGATCATTCATCATTTTAAGAGCAGCTTATTTAAAAGAAATGCATGGAAGCTCTTTAAAGTTCCTGGAACCAATCAATAACATGACCTGACCTGAGTTCTGTCTCCAGCTCGTTCTTACGACTGTTGGCGTCGTCCAGCATGGACTGTAGCACCTGGGATCCCTCCTCTTCTGACCCAGAACTCTTTATCCTCAACATCTTATTCTCGTGCTCCAACCTCAACATCTTTTCCCTGTTTTACGTGTAAAGATCTTACTTTATAAAGCTCTCTTACTTGAAATATTTCAAGTCATCTTGTAAAAAATCCATCATTCCACAATAACACAGTTCTGATGACATATTTATTGTGTATTGTAAAAGTTTACTTAAATATTGATTTTTCATTTGAAAAATTACTTAAGTACTGTAACTGTACTTTTTACCTATTCAAACATACCATATAGGTCAGGAACCATTTTGTGAAACAATGACTTAGTGATCAATATTTCTATGTACATGTATTATTTTTATATTCTGGTGTTCTTTAAGAATTATTACAGTAAGGATAGAGCCAAAGGTGCCAAAATACATGTACATGTAAGTACATGTACAGTACACTGATATTCATGTATATTTACTATTCCTATAGATATATAACTAAATACAGCATCTTTCACTTCTAACTTACTTGATTTCTGGTGGGAGGGACAACATCTCCACTCTGGGGGTCTGAGTGAGGTTTGAGGGTTCCCCACCCTCCATACCCTGAAGCTGAGTACACTTTAGTTCCTCATTCATTTCTTTCAGAGAGTCACGCTCTGTAGCAATTCTCTACAACAATAATCAACACCATTTCTAACTCATTTAGACAGAAGTTAATTTACATATTATAAATCTTTTAAATTAGAGTTTTTTGCATTATCCTATTAATGTTTTTAGCTGTTATTTTTATCTGTTCAGCTGAAGATTTTTACAAGTAATATTGTCATATCTATATTTAATAAACTGCATGTAATTCAGAATTGCTCCATTACATTCCCTGTCACCTTCCTTCATTTTAATCACATTAATATACAATTTTATGAAAGTTCCCTAAAACTCTCATGATCCCATTTTTAATCAAAGTAACATTCTCTGCTTCATCTTAAAATGCTGTGTGTATTTATGAACAACTAACGTATGACCCAGATATCCCACCTCTTTCTCTCGTTGTAGAGCCACTAATTTCTCCTGAGCCCTTTTACACTCAAAGTCTGCCTTGTCTGCTCGCTTTGTTTCATCTGACATTTTGCTCTGAAGTTCATGAACCTGTCTCTTGTACATTTCCAGTTGCTGTTTGACAGTGTTGGATTTCCGTAACTCCTAAGAAAACATTTCATTAATGAAAAATAAATCTAACTCTTGTTTGAATTGTGCAATTTCCAATTCCATTATAAAATTATTTTTTCTGCAATGGTATGGAGCAAAATATTTATCAATTGGTAGCACAACTGTAAAATTTAACCAGCAAACTACATGTGTATTCCTACATTTTATTTAAAGCTATAAAGGAATGTAAAATAAAATTTAAAAATACCTCTTCCATTTCTAAATGTTCCTGCATATATTTTGTGTTTTTATCCTCTAATAGTTTGACCTGACCTCTCAAATCACTCAGTTCCTCTGGAGAAAAAAAAGTAACACAATTTAATCTCACTAAGATTTTCAGGAAATTTAAGTGTATTTTAATATGTGATATAATATGGGTACACCTGATATAAAGGTACCATGCTCTTATCTAAGTACCAATGATGCAACTGAAAGAAACATGGAAACAAGGTCTGAAGATCCAAATCAACACAGAAAGTCTGTTCACTTACCTAGTTTCTTTTTGTATGAATCAATCATTGCTTCATACTTTGTCTGCAAATAAAAGTATATGTGAATGAAACATATGTACCGGTACATGTACATATATTTACTTATGTGATGAAATGAAATAGTAAAGGAAGGGGTTGTTCCAGTTAAATTCCATGTATTTAAAAGAGACTGTAAGCTTAAGAATTACCACTTGTTCTGACGTGTGTCTGAGGACATCGACTTCATCCTTCAGTGACCTGGCTTCATCTACCACAGCAGTTAACTCAGAATTCTGCTCAAATCGTTATAATTTTATCACAAAGACACTTAATAATAAATAACATTGTTAATTACAGGACTGCTCATTTTCAGTGTTCATTCATTTGAAGATGAATTTACTAGAGGAACATACTTTAAATCTTATTTTGTAAGACAATAGATGTGATAGGAGAGTAATTTTTCTCAAGACTTAGTTTCACATACTCTCTGATAGATACATTTAAATAATCAGTTCTTGTTGGCAAAAATTTGATTTAACATCATGACAGTCTTTGGAAATTATGTGTAAATAAAGTTCACTAATATAATTTACAGTACCGAAATGTGAAAATAAAATTTGGTGGCAAACCTTTTGCTTAAATTCAGCACATTCTTTGGACAGGACATCAAATTTAATCCTCATATCATCTTTGGCTGTTGAAAACAAGTACTTAAAATCACGTAAAGAATGGACCATTGCAAAACAAACATTGATCTTAAGAAAAAAAAAACAACTTTTGAAGCATTTTAAGACAAATCTGACTTACAGGTCTCCAATTTAAAGTTCTCTTCCTGCAGGGCTTCCACTTGCTGCTGAAGCTGAAGGAACCTTTTCCCAGCAGGGGTGCTACAAACATTGAAGAAAAATTTAAAGATTTGATAAATCTATTAGATAAATTTGGCTGTACTTTTTGCATTTATCTGAATGCATTTTTTTTGTCGTATTAATAAAAACAGAATAAATTCAAAGATGCTACAACAACAGTTACAACAGAAACCAGAATGATTTTTGAAACCAAAAACAAGAGGTCCATGAGCCATGATGCTCAAATGAATAACCTTGGATCTTTGATTTTTCCGTTTTAATCCCACATAAAACTTTGGTCCCCTATTGTGGTCACACAAATGACTTCAATAACATATCCAAACTTGAATCTATGCTACATGGGGACAGTTGTACATGTATATCAAATTGACTGTCACCCATATGTTCTTGATCAGATTTTAAAAAGAATTTCTCTGTACTATCTTTACATCCCTACTGTATAGCCACTTTTTTGGTGGGTCACAAATCTGGTAGATTTTGGTCTACAATATATAGCATTAAATTTAGCATATATAATTTAAATGAATCCTACCCCATATACATGTATTTGTAATGCATTGTTTTAAGCATAAAATCCATATGGCAAACTTTGATATGGATTAGAATGTAATTTGTACCTGGAATCATCGAAGTTTTCTGATTGGTTGATTCGCTCCTGTAATTTTTCATTTTCTGTGAGATAGGCATGTTTTTCTTCTAACAATGCTGCAACCTGCCAATGAGATGTTAGAATTTAGAATACTTGAATGAGAAGAGTTCAAGTGAACCTTTGGCTTAGTTCTGGAGACAGCTAATGTAAAATGTTCACACAATCGGCCTAGCCAATAGCCATGTTTGATGGTCGGAAACCAACGTTGACTTTTTGAACTAAAAAAAGAAAAGAAAGAAACAAACCATAAAATCATATTTCAGCATGTGATATTCCTTTCACATATGGTACATGTATATTGTTCAATGACAAAAAAAAACTGTTTAATCCTACATGTTGTATCTGCCGATTTCCTCTGCAATAAAATAACGGCATTTTCCATTTTCGGTGTTCTTTAAATGAATAGTCTGTGCGCACTAAAAATCTTTTTCTCTATGTTCTAGTCCCTAGTGAGTAAACAAGTGAACTACTACATTGGGAAGGCAAGCCCTAATAAATTGAAAACTCGGGTATTATTGTATTTAGCATACCCAGCTGATACCGGAGCACTTGGTATTGAAAAATTACTAGTATATATTCATAGCTGGTAAAACACACGTGAAACATCGGAATTATTCAACAGTTTACTGTATTATTGCCGCCACAACTGTCAAAAATACCATGTTTCAAATGTGTGTGTGCAACTGCATACCCATTTTAACGGCCGTCATGGCAATAAACAAGCGACCAGAAAATTCGAAATTCTTGTGTGTGTGTGTGTGTGTTTTTTCAGTGCAATTTTTACTGTAACGGCGAATATAAATTATATATTCTTTATAAAAAAAAATAATTATCATATATACTTGCATGTCAAAAAATAAATAATTAAAAAAAATATAATCACCGAATCTAAGTACGTTTAATTTTATTGATGTACTGAAGAAGAAAACGGAAGGAAAACGGTCATGTTCTTCACTCGCAGAAGTACATGTACAGATGTATGAAGTCAACTCCTGCCAGTCTTGGCACAAATTTTATTTGCAAGATCATTTTACAGTTTACCAAAACTCACAATCCTTTAATAAGGTATTGCATGCATCGTCCCACTTATTCACCAAAAGAAAATACGTAAGCTCTTTTGCCCATTTTCTGTCTTTCTTGGAAACATTCCACGTTTGAGAATGTGGGCGGACCTATAAAAAATGCACCAATCAGATTCTTTGTTGGATTTCGCAATGGTATGTCAGTCAGATTCAATTGTATTTCAGTCAGATTCAACGGTGTCGTCACTCAACACATCACTATTTCGGTCGTAGTGTATACTTTCAAGCAAGATTTGCGATAAAATTCACCTGTCGCTATTAATATTTACAACTGAGGAAACATTTTAGATGAATACAATAAATGTTTTGTGGTGAGAAATATTAACAAGTAAAAGAAGGGTCGTGAAGCTCGCAGGTATATATTGCACACAAATAAAAGTTGGTTTATAGTACTAAGAAGCACAACAGTTCAGTCCATACAAACAACTACAGTAGGAATTTACTAATAACACAGATGAACACATAATGTGAAGAGAATAAAGGATAAATACATGTAGTTTGAAGTATTTTTCAAGACGATCAATATCTTCTCAATTCCCTATACCTGAATTAGGTTTAAACAAAAGTAGAATAGTACGTTTACCTGTTGATCCAGTTCATGGCATCGCTGAGTCAATTCTTCTTTGGCTTCTAAGGCACTATTTAAATCATCAACAGCACGCTTTAACTAGATAAGAAAGCAAAATCATGTGCATTTGTAAATACCTCCCTTACATCAAAGCCCCTACCATAATGTGGATCGTATATTTTTTTTTAATCAACACATGCACATCTTTGAAATCTTTGAAATTAAAAAGAATTGATATCATGGACACTTTTTGGTCTATGCCTCCAGATTGAGATATATATGCTATATAAAATAAGGAAAATAGGGACAGGTAATGATACATCTTATGTTGTATTTACTAATAAACATCTCAGGTAATTATCAATTAAGATTGAATTATACCTGATCTCCTAATTCTGTATCTCCTTCTATTCCAGTACTGATTTCTTTTGTCATTAACTGTTACAAAAACAAACAAACAAACATAAAATTACCTTAAAAGCATAATTACAAATATAGTGACTTTTGTGGTGTCAAAATCAGCAGCAGATGCTCTCTGTCAACAAACAAAAACAAAACTTTTTTTGCTTTTCACTTTTTCTTTTGCAGTTCAGTTTTCTTTTACCTCCTGGATTGCATTCATGACAACATGTTGTACAGACTCCTCCATTGACATGATCCTCCCAATGTATTCCTCTTTGTTTGCACAGTTGACTGCACAGCCTAAGATCAGTTGTAGAAGTCGACCAAGCTCTGCCTTGTCACTGCGCTCACCTGAACAAAGATTAAGATAATTTAAAAGATGACTTCTTGAAAGATAGATAGTGCAGTATGTGAATGGAAAGCCTCATCATTCTGAGAAAAAAATCAATAATACAATACTATATTATATTTGAATTATTTTCAAGAAATGGAAGCCATCTTAGAAATAATTAATCCCTTCATCAAAATTATTATCATATTAATGATCTCATGAAAATGATTAATCTTAAAATAAAATATATAATTCAGCAGTGATTATTTTTATAATTTCCATCATTCTATTAACATCTCATAATCTAAGTCATTATTTTCATGGGAAAATAATTAAAGCCTTTTTTCTCTTTTATGTAAAAGACACACTCACCAATAGCACTGACATCTGGCATTTGAAAATTTTGTATATGGATTCCCAAAACCTGTATAAGGAAAAAATAAGAAATATTCTATATTGCTCATGCATCAACAGAATCCAGATATTTGTACCTCTCAGGTTCTGCATTTATACACCTTTATTCAGCAAATGACATGCAGGCTGACATGCAGTTTCAAATACATGTACTGACTTCTCCCGATCAAATTAATATACATGTTCATTGTAATTTTAGAAAAGATTACCGGTACTGGACATACTAAGCTGTAAGACCGTCTGTAAGATATATTTTTCATGAAAGCAAACAATACCATTTTGATTGATGATAAAACTTACCTCCATATTATACTCCAAGATGCCATTTAATATCTTTTTCAAGTTGCTGACCTGAAATGATTGTTAAAAAAAATTAATAAGTGCTTGAAAAAATACAGACTTTATTTGTGTCCACTATTCTATAAAGTCACAGTGTTTGTTTATCACAGAGCTCATCAAAATTTAAGATTCTTCATCCCTCAAGTTCTTGTACAGAGCTATTCAGTCAGTAAGCTATTCAGAAAATTATTTCTAAATTCACTTAATACATGTAATGGTTCTCTATTAATTCCTCCTTTTTGGTCATTAGTAGATTTTAGAAAAGTAATCACATATAAATATAACAATATCTCATTTTTCAAGATTTTCCAAACATTGGGGGGAAAAAGGGGGGTATCTTTTATAATAGAAAATTGTTCAGAAATCATCTTTCAAAACAGAAAATGACCGACTGAAATGCATTGTAAGAATTTACATGATTTTTATGCAGTTACAATTCTTCAATAAACTTCCAATTTTACTCTTAATACCTTCAGCCTCCAGTTTTTAACTTCATCAAATTTGATCTTTGACATCCAGCCTTCATTGAAATAGTCAGGTGCTCTGAGAACATATACAAAATATATATTTCTTCAAGTTGATATATTTCATATGAAGCATACACATGTACTGCATCTGAATTACTACCAGGTACATGTTTATAAACCTTACATCTGTTTTATAGTCTTTTTATCAAGTTAAAGAAGATGGTTATATTTTTTAGTATTAAATATGCTCTGGAAGTTTCTATATATTGATGAACAACACTGAGATATTTTGTAAGTATTTTTATTATTTGTTTGGTTTCTAATACAATTTTCCAAACCTTGGTCCTACTTGGAAACATACAGTCTCTTTAAACATTAAATAACTTCAGATAATTTTGGAAGAATTTGACATTTCTTGGCAACTTACATTTGATTAAGGACTTGTGCCATTGCCACCCCATCAATTAAATCATCCACTTTATGGATTGATGCAGAGATATCAAATGTCTGCATCTGAAACATAAAACAGTTCAAGTACACATCAACTAAATGTAAATATATGCAGTAAGGCAGTAAGTAGAACTTTGGAATCTTAAATATTGATATGTTGAATACATAGTAGTACCATGGATACATTTAACACCATGGATATTTCAAATACATATTATACTAAGTGTAAATGTACTTTTTTCCACGGGATCACAATTCCATGGGATCACAATTTCTGTTCAATCCACAAGTAGAAAACTATGCAGATTTTTTCATTGACTCTTTATGTCTTTCATGCACACTTTAATACACTGTGACAAATTTCTGCAGAAAATTTGTGACTGTATACAATGCATTAATTACTTATCCTATCTGGAAAAAAGTACTTTTACAGCATATGGATATAATGAATATCATTAAATTTGCTGAAAACCAGGGAATATAGCAAAGGGAGTATTTGGTCCTGACCTGTAGTTATTCAATCTTGATGTCTTGAACATAAAAATGTCTCAGAGTGTCTAACAATATGTATGGAAAACCCCATAAAAGCAGATCATGACTTTGCTTTTAATTTGGTCAGCCATTCATAGGCCTGTAGGAAGCAATTTCAGTTTTGGGGGTGCAATCAAACATTTTTTCAGTTGGGGGGGGGGGACTACCAAGCAAAAAAAGTCATCAAAAGTTATCATTGAGGGGGCACAAGCATAAAGTATCCATTTTTTTCTATAGTATACACTAAATTGGCACAATTATTTGGGGGGGGGGGGGCATGGCCACCCCATTCCCCCTCCTGATTCCTATGGCCATGATTCACTTCATCATGTTAATTATAGTTCTATGAAAAGGTTCAAGTTAAATCAAATTTGATTTAGCATATCCTGCACAATATAGTTTCTCATTCAACAGATTAGTGCACAGTGGTGCATGCATATTTTCCCAACTTTCTATACAAATGGACAAGTTCTATACTTCTGGAATGTGTCAAAAGTTGAATTCACATATGGTGTTCTTCAATTTACTGTAATTTACATTTCATCACTGAAATCACAGTGAATGGTACATTGCTTAAAGAATATCACACTGCTAACTGCCCAAATAAAATGAACTTACTCTTACAGCTGTAGAGAATTGCATACTACAATGTTTATGTCCCTGGCAAAACATTTCATCTCTATTTCCTTAAAAAAAATCATTAAAATACATAATTCAAACGCTAAATTGCATCTTACCCATGTGATAAGACTATCGCATAGTTCTTCTCTGTCCATTTTTTGGGTTGGACTGAGAAAAATTGACAAATGGTGGATGCAAGGGAGATAAAAACGTAAACTTCCTGTATAGTTGACACTAATGACTAAAAAATTATAAGTATAAAACTGAAGCAACTCTTGACAAACTATATAGTGTTTTGTTATTCCAGAGACACTCTTCTATCATAATTTTTTTTTAATGTTTTTTTTTTTTAAAATAAATATTAAGATTAAAAGGACTCAAAAATGGAGAAAAAAAAACATGTTGCTCATAAATATCTTATTCTAAATCAATTAAATAAAATTATCGGAAAGACCATAAATCATACATTTTAATGCAAAAAATATATTAAAAAAAAATTTAATCATCCAAAGTAAGATAAGTTGATTATTTATGAACCTTTTTTAAAAATAAAACTATGTTGTTTTACTTGCAACATTTTTCTTTATTTAGACGAATCCTCTACTTTCGCTTTCGATATTGATTGTCAACACATCGATGTTTGCATATTGAATCAATTATGTTTATATTTAAAACAGAGGATTAAGAAGTGGAAAAATCACCCACATATTTAAGGTTCCAAATTGCGATTAGCCTTAGGTAAAGTTTACATTGCTTACACTTCTTATTCTGTAATTCTCTGATGCAATAATATGTATCTCACTCAATGTACAGACTTCTAGACACGTAGAACTATTAAATGACTCAGACATTAAAATAAGATCTATAAAACAATAAAAAAGGTTGGCAAATATGTCGTGGTGAATGACAGTGACAGTGTTCTTTTACTTTTAGCATTCTTCGGCTACTCAATCTTCACATTTGTAACAAACAACGGATAAAATATGTCATACCTGAGAAGTACACATTTAATTGAAGGAGTTGGAGATGAAGTGTTATATGGAATTGGTGCCTTTTTAGGGATTCTTGCACCAATGGTTGTGTACATCATAAACAGAAATTAGTAAGATTTAATCAAACCCCTACAAGTTTTTTTTTTGAATACATTGAATTTGGGCATTAAAAGGCATGATGTGCTTCAAACATATCTAAAACTTTGACTGGAAATATTTAAATTCATTGTATAGATTTTTTACGGCATCTTATTTTGCCAATTGAAAATCATACATTTATTCAGTTAATTCAATATTTTATAAAGGTAGAATGTTAAAAGAGTTTTCAATATTTTATATATTTAATAGGTGTTTTGTTACCACATCAAAATCAAATGATACATATAATTGTAAAAAGTTAATTTTGAAAGGAAATTTTCATAAATTTGCTATTACATGTATTTACAGTGACAATGTTCAGAATATTCATCCAGACAGTGAGGAAAATGTTCGATCCACTCGAGAACATTTACAAGCCTCTGCTAGGGTCCGTAGCAATCCAGGAGAAATTGACTGTCCTGTATGTTTAGGCAATACACATTATGGAATAGAAACCAATTGTGGACATATTTTTTGTGGTAAGAATCTTCACTTTAGTTGACCTTCATTTAAAGGTAAATGTAATCCCCGAATTCTTATATATATATATAAATATATATATATATATATATATATATATATATATATATAAATATATATATATATATATATATATATATATATGTGTGTGTGTGTGTGTGTGTGTGTGTGTGTGTGTGTGTGTGTGTGTTTGTAAACCCTGTCAATTGAACACGTGCTTTAGACGGCACACGTTTAAATGAACACGCAAAAATCCAAATGAACACGAAATGGTGGTGTTCAGTTGGATTTTGTCATAAATCAACTAGAAACTGTCCTAGGATGCATCCGATTTCAAAAACATGATGTGTTAATTTGACCGGATTCATGAGATCTGTGTAATGAGTGTGTATAAGATGATCACCGATCCATCGTTTTTTCTTCTCGGCGAGACTTACACACATTGCGAGTGCGCATGCTCGTTTCATCAAATGACGTCGTAAATGACATCATAATACAGTACTTGTTTCACACTTAGTTCATGTACATGGGGACGAAGTAAACTTTGTAAAAGGTAAGTAAAAATCTGTAAATAAATAAAATTTAATGTATTAAATATATATAGCTTATGAATTAATGGGTAAAGATGGGTCCATATTATGACATAACGGCATTGTCTACTCAAGAATTTTCCTATGGTATAGGCTGTATAGTTACAATGTGCATCGTTGCAGTATAAATGGTTAAAACCAATATGCTAAAAGTTTAATGTAGTAAAAACATATTAAAGAAATCTTTTCTACAGTGTATATCTCTGTCTCTGTATGTGAAGGTAAACACATTCCGTATTAGCATATGTTGTACTAGCTCGCGGAGAAAACTTTTTCTGCGTGCATGTGTATCTAATAGCATATTTCAATTTTATTGAATCAACGTTGATCTTTTGCATTATGTAGTACAATATGCTGTCTGAAATTTTTAAATGTTTTCTTATGTTTCGCATCTTATGTGTCATGTCAAGTTCGAAGGTTTCATTTTAAAAACGAAAGTAGAGTCGGTCACGCCATGTGTTATGGGCCTGGGAAACGTTCAGTCTGGGTTATATATAGGTACGTGGGCTACTAAATCATTGTTAATATTGTGTACATAATAAGCTGTCAACTAAAAAAAACCCCACATATACAACTGAGGCGTAATATTAGAAATAATTCCTGCACGTTTAAATGAGGAAGAGGAGGGGGGGGGGTTAAGATGTTTTGCTTCTGAAGTTCTCCCAGGGACGTAAGGCCTAGTGATATAATTGTTAAGCGTGTATAGGTCCCTGCACCAACGTGGTCTTCTAGCCCTGGCAAACTGAGGGTATAGTGCAGCTGTATAAGTTGAAATTAATGTCAAAGGCATGCTGTGCATTTATTCAGTGACATGCCCTAATTCTAATGTAGTATGAGAATTTAAAGACTGGATACTTGTCAGTTTTATTGACATGCACTCATTTTTGCATTGGGACAATTTTGAGAAAATATGTAAATGTAGCTGTGATGATTCTTGAATAATATGCAGCTTCTACTAAGTTACAGTAATTAAAGAATATATTTTCCTATTTATTTATCATGGAATTCATGTTTTAAAACTGATATTATAATACATTTCAGGTAGAACACATGTAGAACATGTAGAAACATTGATTTCGGATCAGAAATTATCAATGTTCATGGCTACTCAGAACACAGCAGGGAGAAGTTCATGGTATGAATGCAATTATATAATATTAACTCATTTAATACTGAAAAGTCACATGTCAGGAAAAAAAAACAAACACTACCTGAAGTTCTAATGATCTGAGTTCATGATGATGTGTTTGTTTATCAGCATGATCTGTATACCTTTTCCTGTATTGTTTCATACTACAGTCGTGAATCAGTGTTTTACCTTAACGACAGTCTGTTGAACCAAGATGGGCAAATATTTGGGAGGATCAATAAATTTAAAATTAAGTCTGTATGTTATATCAGTTAATTGTGATAGTAAAAAAAAAAATTAAAGGTTCAGTTTAAAAGACAAAGATCTTCACCAATAATAGTCCAATAATAGTGCAGATAAAAAGTAAAATAAATTTATTTAAATAGGGGAAAAAAAATGTTTGCAACTGACTATCATACCGATAATTTTCACAATTAGTATTTTACATAATAAACAGGACAGATAATTAATACTATACCATTGGCCATTGTTGTCGTCGGGGCATACCATGTAATGAACTATTAATATATTAAGCAAATACATACTACTGTAAATTCTCTTTTATTGTGTGCACACTTATTTTCAGCAAAACGTAAAAAAGACAAAGAAGGAAGGGTACACACTATACAATATACATGTTTTTATTGGGGTATAATGCAACCACAGAAATTCAAATTGAAGAGATTTACTTCCATTCAGGGATTTTAAAAAAGAGAGAAGATTTTCCAACTGCAGAGAATACAAGTAATTATGTTATATGGAATTATGATTGAACATTTACAATATTTATAAATCCTTCAAAATTTTTCTGTCATCAAGGGTGTCATAGAGATATAAATAACAGAGATTTGTAGCTGTTTGAAATCTTGCAAATTTTCTAACTCCCACCCACTCTAACATGAGGCACTGGAAAATGCAGGGAAAACTCATTTTTGTTTGTTTGTTTGTTTGTTCATTTTTTTTTTTTTGGACAATGGAATTAGTCATGCATAAATTACTGATTCAGAGGCTAATATTGGCATTATGTAAAACTGGATCTATTAATTCTTTATGAAAACTCACTGGTCTGAGGCCATATTCCTGGGATTAACTATAGGGGCAACTAAAATTTAAAAAAAATTAAAAGTTCAACAGGTTTTATGAATTTTCCCCTCAAAGTAATAAAAAATGTAATCACACTAGATGACTCTGCTCATTTATTTACGTTATCAATAGAAAGGCCAGAGAAGCTATATATATATATATATATATATACAATGTGTAATGTAAAAACAAAAATATTCCTTGAATTTGTCAGTTGTTTGTTGTTAACAATTATCAACGAAATTAAATCCCACATGAAATTTTACATAACAATATAATGAGTAGGTTACATTCGTAACAATGAAATTTAATGCCCACAATACCTTCACAGATAACAAATCAACGAAATTTTATCCACATGAAAATTTGTGCTTCTATATAACCAACACCTTAATGTGAGTAAAAATGTACAGCAGATGCATTTAGTATTTTTAAGTGCAGTGACTGGAAAGGCACAGTAAATTCAGACCAAACTCAAGTTAAATCATTATGTAGTATTAAGGAACAAGTTATTTATAAGTGTATTAAAAATACTAAATAAGACAATAAAAGACAAGACAATACAAGAAAAAATATAAGGGGCCTCATAATCTTTCAGAGGGACTCTGTTAATATTTGATATCGATTGACTGGCAGACCCTGTAAGCCTGAGTGATCAATTATGTACTGAGAAGTTTGTTAATAAAGAGTACCTGTTACCACTTAATCAGATTATTAAAATTTAATTTAAAAGGTAAACATGTTGTTGATAGTGAACAAGTCTGTGTGCCACAAATATATTAATATATAATTTCAAATGAGCAAGAAATGTTATCATCTGTGTATTCTTAGATTGCGTAAATTAAGCTTTCTTTATATAATTATATTTTTTTTGATGGAATTAGAAGAAATCTGAAAGATTGTACCCCCCCCCCCCCCCCAATATTTTACTCCCCATGATTATTTTAATCTCAGTTTTCACATACAAATTAATAAAACTCTAGTATATTATACTGCACACCAAAGAGCTCTGATTTTATGGTATTTTTATGGAGATAGAGACTAATTCGCCCTGGGATCTAACATTTAATAAATTGAAATCCTAGCAGTCTGTTACTGAATTTTAGTTAATGCAAGCATTCTTAACAATTGAATGAGAAAATCATATTGTATAACTCTAGGTATAATAATGAGCTAATCAGATCTATTTCATTTTCTTGAATTTCAACATGTTCAAAATAGGGTACATGGCATATTTACACCCTAAAAAAAATATTCAAAGACATTAAAGTATTGATGAACAGAAATCTCTGCACATTGTTTACTTGAGTGAGAAAACACATGCAAATAAAGTGTTCAATTTATTTATCCTAGCTGGACCAGAAACATTTTGATTTAGTGTAACAGTCCTTTAATTGTCTTGATTCTAATCGGGATCGGTATTCAACTTAACATTCACTTTCATTTTAATTATGGAAATGTGATTTTGACAGCTGAGAAGAATATGTATTAATACATGTAATTAACTGGTTGTGAAACATTGATGATGATGTACCGTATGAGATATGTACATTTAATGTCCTCTTCACAAGGAGGGCTTAATTCATAGTAAGTTACTGCTGCTTTAAATTAAACTGCATTCACACGGAGAATTTAATGTGAATTAGTTAATTCAAATTAATTTACTGTGCATCAAATTTCTTTGCATTGACTTCGTATGAACACTAAGCAAAGCTTTAATTATAAAAAATTTTGATGCATGCGTAATAGCACAACTAAGCCACATGCCATATGTTGGTGCTCAGGTACATGATTAAGTACAGTGAAACAAATGAAAGCCACTAGTCCTCCTCAATTTTTTTGAAATGTAGGTTTTTTTTAATATTATGAGCTTAAGTTAAAAATACACTGTTTTATAAATAATTATGTTTTGTATTTTCTGTCCTATACATACTACAGGTACATGATTAGATATATTGATGACGCTTTATCAATTGACAGTAATTATTCATTTTTATTCCTACATTAATATGTTCAGGTGTGACCGGTCAACAGAGGATGCTTACTCCTCCTAGTCACCTGATCCCACCTCTATGATTTCCAGGGGGTCCATGTTTTATCCCAAGCTCCTCACAGATTTGTATTGTTCATCATGTTTATAGATTTTTTGAGATTGACCACTGTTCATTATATTTAACTTTTTTCATTCACATGTATATCCCTTTGACCTCAAAATTAAAGACACCACAGAGGCTGATACATCTGTTTCATATTTGGATATTTTACTAGATAAAGACATTAATGGCAAAGTAACAACTAAATTTTCTGATAAATACAACACCTTTAATTTTTCTATTATTAACTTCCCTTACTTATGTAGCATTATCACCTGCATATGGAGTTTGTTTCCCATTTGATTCAAAGGGCAAGAACATGTGTACTATGTACAAATAATTACTAAAATGAGGCAAGCTATTGGTAAATAATTTGATGATACAGGTTTAGCCAACATTTTGCAAATTCTGTAATCGATACAATGACTTTGTTAACAAATACAGTCTACAGATAAGTCAAATGTTTACTGATGTTTTTCATACATAAATTATTAGGCCATTATTTTCATACTGAATTGTCTACAGATTTATCCATTCACCCTATTATGACAAGGAGCTCGCAGCAGGTGTAACTAGTTGACAGGGGATGCTTATTCCTCCATGACTTTTGTTCCCACCTCTGATGTTTTAGAGATCTATGTTTGCTATACTCACAATTAGTAATGTTTCACTGCACCTTTGAGCTTAAATACTGTTTGTAATCTTCATATTTCATTAAAGGTCTGCAACATTCTAATAGATGGGAATCAATTTGTCTTTTCAGTTATGAACATTTCTTATCAACAACCCTTTAAGCAGAAGGACCTCTGTTCTACAGCTTGTGGTGGATCATTGAACACATGATAATCAACCAAGTTTAAAGGAAGCATGTAACCACAATAGAAAGATTTAAGGACTGTGAGAAACCAAATATGACACATCAGAATAAAGTCCATGGGAGTGTGAAAAAAAAAAGAATAGTAGAGTGTAATCCTCAGAACTTTCTTCAGACTTCCTCAAAGTTCAGGAAAATACTGTTGAACTGACAAAATGAACAAAAATCATGATTCTCAAAAATTGAAGGAAGACGTGTGAGTTAAGACTTTTGATGACAATTAAGAATCAACCAATGGAAATATGGCTTTGAACTTGGATCTCATTATTGGTAAGTGAATTAAACATTTATCTTGATTGTTAATGACCTAGCAATTTTGATTACTACCATTTAATTTTAACTAATTTTTACATGTAGCTTCCCACATTGATTTTTTTTAACTTTATACATATAATTTCAATTTTCATGAAAGCTAATGGACAAGGTGCATGTATGTCTTAACACCCCCCCCCCCTCCCCCTTTTCCAGTTTTTAGCTCATCTGAGCTGAAAGCTCAAGTGAGCTATTCTGATCACACATTGTCCAGCATCTGTCCGTCCATCTGTAAACTTTTCACATTTTCAACTTCTTCTCAAGAACCACTGTGCCAATGTTAAGCAAAGTTGTTACAAAGCATTCCTGGGTAATTGGGATTGTAAATTGTTATAATGAAGAGCCAACTTTCCTTCCAAGGGTAGATAATCAAGAAATGCAAAAATAGGGTGGGGTCTAGGGCTGGGACTATATATTGACATATCGATAATATCAATTCTGTGTGAGGACGATGTGCATATCAGTACATATGAAGAAATATTGAAATATCAATACATATGAAGAAATATCAAATGTCGCAAAAAAAATTCTTACATGTTTTTCTTTCTTTTCTTAACATTTTGGGTTTTATTTTTGTTTGTATGTTGTTTAACGTCCCTCTCGAGAATTTTTTACTCATATGGAGACGCCACCACTTGCAGGTGGAGAGCTACAAATTTTGTCCTATACTCGGCACTTAAGGCCACTGAGCAGTGAGGGATCTTTTTCGTGCCAGCACCTACTGCGACACGGGACCTTGGTTTATACGGTCTCATCCAAAGGACCGGTCACCACGTCCCACAGTGGGATTCGAACCCGCGACGTGAGGATCAACTCCTTACTTCGCGACTCTAGAGCAGATGCTCTAACCACTGCGCCACGCGGGCGACCCTTTTGGGTTTTATATATAAAATGAATATGCTAAATATTAATATGAAATACATAACAATTAACACCAATTGTGTAAAATAATTTTGGTTTACAACAGATGTACAACTTCTCTGAATAAATTATTCTTATTTGTGATTTTTTTTGTTTACTTCAATACAAAAAAGAGATTTTATAACCAATTAAACATATCGTGATATATATCGTATTGGCTTAAATATCGTGATACATATTGATATAGAAAAAATTGTATCGTCCAAGTCCTAATGGGGTCATTGAAACATTATATTATAATATATAGGATAAAAATCTTTAAAAATCTTTTTCTCAAGACTACTGGACTAGTAAAGATAAAATTTAGTTAAAGCTTCCTGAAGTAGTGTAGATTGTATTGTAAACTGTTTAAAACATGTCCCCTGGGGGTATGGTAGGGCCATAATAGGAAATCAAAGTTTTACATTGAAATATAAAGGAATAATTTTACACATGTTAAATATCTTCTTCTCAAGAAATACTGGACTAGAAAAGACAAAAATAAGGTGAAAGCTTTCTAAAGGTAGTGTAGGTTTTAAATTGTTCAGATCATGGCCCCTGGGGGTAGGGTGGGGCCACAATAGGGATTATATTGGTAAATCTTTGAAATGCTTAATTCTTTTCAAGAACAAAAAAGCCATGATGAAACATAATAATGTGGAAGCATCATCTGGTAGGGTAGATTTATTTCTTATTAAATGATGGCCCCTATAGGGGGGGCCACAAAAGATGATCAAAATATATGTATATTGGGGAAAAAATCAGTTGTAGAACCGCAGGGCCAGAGTGACTCAGGTGAGTGTTGTGGCACATGGGCCTCTAATTTTGTTGTCAGCCCACTAGCTTTGCTTTGAGTCTAATCTCATAAATGCTTTCTCATTCAAAAATTTAAAAGTCTAGAGTAAAGAACTATATACGGCAAGGGCGTATTCCTGCCCCCATGATAGTCAAATTTTGAAAATCTCTTGAAATGAGAAAAAGTGCATATATTGTATAAAATAATCCAAATTAAGACAATATATTATGAAATTGGAAAAATTAGTTGGCTTTTCTTGTCTCTGTGACGTCACAAACTATTTGGATTTCCATTATTCTTAAAATAGAGGCCAAAATGCACAGAGTTTGTTCAATTTTGACTATAGTATTTATAGAGCGCAAGCCTGCTCAGGTACCATATTCACATATTTCATTGATATTATCATTCTACACATTATATCAAAAGATCTAGTCTGAGCAGACCTGCGCTCGGTAATTTCCAATCAAAGTACCGACGTAAAATACGCTATTTTCTCTCAAAATCATTGCAATTTAGAATTTACGTCATTTTATTGACGTCATATCTAACTAATGATGTCATAGTTGATAAAAATACTTAATGCTTTGAAGTCTGCAAATATCCACCTGGTTTAGAACATAAATAAAGACTTCTCCATCAAAGTTTTATTTTGGGGGCAGATACTGGCCACTACAGAATATAGTCCTTTAAAGATTCATTTAATTAAAAGTAGTGATGAGTATTGAAATGAGTATTGAAATGCAAAAAAAAAAAAAAATTAATCATGACAATCTTTTGACTTGTGTTTTATGATATATATTGATGCATATCACTTAATTTTTACTTTTGTTCTATATGTGTTTTATAGAATATAAATAAAAAATCCTAAAAGTTTTCAGACACTGTAAAATTGTTAGGAATAAATGCATTCTTCAATCATTATGAATTTCAAATAAGGTATGTTTAAAAAATTATTTATAGAATCAATAATCTCAATATATATATATATATATATATATATATATATATATATATATATATATATATATATATATATATATATATATATATATATATATATATATATATATATGTTAAAAAAGTTCCTATACACAATATTTTCATTAAAAAGCCCCTGCAACCTTTACATCTAATAATTATTTTCTTCAAATTTTAATCTGCTAGGGGTGGGATGATATACAAATTAGTGGCGTTCCAATCATTGATTATACTCGAAAATCTGTTGATTGCTGGCATAATCCAAGCGCTCGGTTACAAAATTTTTATTTTGATTAATCGGATTATCATTATTTTTAGGTCACCTGAGTCACTCAGGTGACCTATTGCTATCTGTTTTTGTCTGTTGTCGTTCGTCGTCAATCGGTCGTAAACTTTTGAACATTTTTAGCTTCTTCTCTGGAACCACTGAACCAATTTCAACCAATTTTGGCATATAGCATCTATGGGTGAAGGGGAGTAAAAATTGTGAAATTCATGGCCCCTGCCCCCCTGGGGCCTGAGGGGTGGGGCTAAATCCATCAAAATTAATGCAATCTTTAAAAATCTTCTTCTTTACTCCTGGACATCAAGCAGTGAAACTGTTGGCATGATTGTAATAAGCATTAAGCCCTCTACCAAAATTGTGAAATTCATGGCCCCAGGGTCAGGGGTTCTGGTGCTAGGGTGGGGCTCTAATGATAATATAGTGAAAATGCATTAATTCTTTAAAAATCTTCTCCTTTGCTCCTGGGTATCAAGCTGATGAATTAAGTACATAGTAATGATGAGCAAGAGTGCCTCTTCCAAAATTGTGAATTTCATGGCCCCTGTGTCAGGGGTTCTGGTGTTAGGGCGGGGCTCTAATGAATATATAGTGAAAATGCATTAATTCTTTGAAAATCTTCTCCTCTGCTCCTGGGTATTAAGCCGATGAAGTAAGTACATAGTTATGAAGAGCAAGAGTGCCTCTTCCAAAATTGTGAATTTCATGGCCCCAGGGTCAGGGGTTCTGGTGTTAGGGCGGGGCTCTAATGAATATATAGTGAAAATGCATTAATTCTTTGAAAATCTTCTCCTCTGCTCCTGGGTATTAAGCCGATGAATTAAGTACATAGTTATGATGAGCAAGAGTGCCTCTTCCAAAATTGTGAATTTCATGGCCCCTGGGTCAGGGGTTCTGGTGTTAGGGCGGGGCTCTAATGATTACATGTATATAGAGAAAATGCATTAATTCTTTGAAAATCTTCTCCTCTGCTCCTGGGTATTATTTAAACAAACTAAGTGCATGGTTATGACAAGCATTGATGCCTTTTCCAAAATTGTGAAATCCATGGCCCCTGGGTCAGGGGTTCTGGTGTTTGGGGGGGGGGCTCTATTGATTATATAGTGAAAATGCATTAATTCTTTAAAAATCTTCTATTTGCTCCTGGATATTATTTAAACAAACTAAGTGCATGATAGGACAAGTAATGATGCCTTTTTCAAAATTGTGAAATTCATGGCCCCTGGGTCAGAGGTTCTGGTGTTGGGGGGGGGGGGGGGGCTCTATTGATTATATAACGAAAAATGCATTAATTCTTTGAAAATCTTCTATTTGCTCCTGGATATTATTTAAACAAACTAAGTGCATGGTAGGACAAGTAATGATGCCTTTTTAAAAAATTGTGAAATTCATGGCTCCTGGGTCAGAGGTTCTGGTGTTAGAGGGGGGAGGGGGCCTCTATTGATTATATAGTGAAAATACATTAATTCTTTGAAAATCTTCTTCTCTGCTCCTAGGTATTATTTAAACAAACTAAGTACATGGTAAAGGTGCACAAGGTTGCTTTTTCCAAAATTGTGAAATTCATGGCCCCTGGGTCAGGGGTTTTGATTTGGGGGGGGGGGGGCTCTAATGATTACATTTTAAAAAATGCAATGATTCTTTGAAAATCTTCTCCTTTTCTCCTGGGTATAAGCCAATGAACAAAGAAATATAGTTATGATGAGTAAGAGTGCCTCTTCCAAAATTGTGAATTTTATGCCCCCTGGGTCAAGGTTCTGGTTTTAGGGCAGGGCTCAGGGCAAAGTTGATACATGATACTCAGGTGACCTATAAGGCCCGTGGGCCTCTTGTTTTTTTTACAAGCATAATTAGTTTTCAGACGGAATATTCCAGCCACGACTTATCTATTAACTTATTTGTGTATCCTTATGGCACAGACGAACAGACAATTGTATCAATACCTGGGTAACAAAGCATGTTCCTGGGTATGGACGTAAGTTTATATCTGTACAGTGTATGCAGAAAAATTAAAGAAAGACAGATACACACTCAATAATTAATACTCAGTTGATATCCATAACAACATATACATATGCAGAAAAGTAGCCATTTACCCATTCTTACCATTTAATTCATTTACCCATTCTTACCATTTAATTATCTAAATTGATACTTTGTTAGTGTCCGATTATATTCGATAATTAGTTAGTTACAGTAACCTGATCATCGATTATGAAATTCTTACCGATTCCCATCACTAATACAAATACACCGATACATACCAATATATTTTGCTAAGATATGGTTTATGATACAAAATTGCACTAAAATATCAGTACGAAATGATACACAAACTACCTATCAAAAAATTGAGAATGTAAAATGGTGGCTTGTAAGTGAAGAGATGATATTGATATTGACAACATGCTTTAGAACTAATAAATGATAGATAAGGGGTAAAACATTTTAACTTTTAAGCATCCTTGCAGGATGTTTCTCCATCTGGCACTAACAGCTCACAACAAAGCATGGATTCTCTAATTTCAAGAATTTGAAATTTTGAAACAAATTGTGGATTAATTTTCTTTTCTTTTTTTTTTTTTTTTGTAAACTCAACTTTGTTACAGACTTAATAATAATGTACATGTGATGTTTTTTTTTTTTAAATGAATTTTAAGTCAGTGTTCTTGGTGAACTACACAACTATTTGTAAACAATTTGTTTAATATAGACATTTGGCTATGTACAAGTAATATTGTTTTTTTTTTAAATATTTAGTCAGTGAAATTGATGAACTTCAAATATTAATTTCAAATCACATATGATTTGATATAGAATAATTTGTTGATTTATTGTCAAGAAAAAATGGTAAGTTTTTCTAATAGTTTTATAATGTATCATAATAACGAGATACATATCGTATCATGCTATATGTATCGAGATATGTATCATATCGCAAGATCTGTGTATTGTCCCACCCCTATAATCTGCCATGATAGCAAGAATGATTCGAGTGATGAAAAATATTTGCTAAAAAGGGTATAAGATTAAAATTTCTAATGTTTAAAAAATATTTTCTCTACTCATTATTCATTAAAATTTTATTTGAATCTAGTTTTCAACTTTATAATTCTGTTTGAATCACCAAATTATCATTTTTTAAAACAAAAATGCTCAATCCAAAAAAGTTTGGTCTTTTAACATGTTTAACTTTTAAGGTTGTGTAAACTTCTTATTTTATTAGTCCCCTGATGGTAAAACTGGAGGGGACTATAGGTTTACTCCTTGACTGTCTAACTGTCAGTCTGTCCCATTTAGTTTTCCACACTTCTTCCTTTTATTACAACTGTGCTCTGAAAAGTGGGATTTTCCTTTTAATTTATTTAGTTAGCATGTTCTATTATGACACATCAATTTGCATGTACTAAGGCCAAAATAAACAATACCTTTGTTTCCCCTAAAGCGACCGACCCTATTAAATTGCACTGACAAGTTTTTTTAATAAGATTATTCAGATATTTTTTTAATGATTATCAATTCTTATAAAATACAATTTCATCAAAATCTGTTTTTATCAGAACAGCCGATATTGTTTTACTGTGATTTTCAAGCCTTTGCTGGAAACAAAATCGTGCCCATAACATGTGGTCACATAGGAATACTTTATTTGCAGTGTTGTACAACAACAGTGACGTATCAACCTTGTGTCTTTAGCTTATTCGAATCCTACACGCTTGAAAATTTCATTAATAAAATATGCCATAACTATTTAAGAGTGTTTGGGTGGTATTTGCAATCCCGTCTTTTGAAATTAACTTAAAGGTACTTAGTACATGGCAAGGCCTGCCTCATGAGCAGATGAGGGGCCTACCTTGTGAACACATCAATCAATTTCACTGCATTTTATTTAATTTGAGTTTTTATCTAATAAACAGTTCATCTATGTTCCATAGGAGTTGTAAATATGTCTGCATATTGCATCCTAATGAATATAATTCAGACATCCTTTCTTCATGCCTTTTATTCATGGGTTAAACTTTGTGACTATGACATTGTGTATGGGTTGCCCACGTGGCGCAAAGATTAGACCGTTTGCTCTAACGTCGTGGTTTAAGGAGTTGAGTCTTACCGGCCTCCACATACATTGTGGGCTCAAATCCAACTGCTGGACATGGAGGCCGGTCCTTCAGATGAGACCGTATAAACCGAGGTCCCGTGTCGCAGTTGGTGCTCCAATGAAAAAGATCCCTCACTGCTCAATGGCCCTGAGTGCCGAGTATAGGACAAAATTTGCAGCCCTCCAAGCAAGTGGTGGCGTCTCCATATGAGTGAAAAATTCTTGAGAGGGATGTTAAACAACAAACAAACAAACAAACAAGCAATCATTATGCATGGCATATTAATCATTTTTAGATATGGTTTGGTTCAATTAAATACTGAAAAAGTACATTGCTTTAAGCACTGGAAGCTGATAGTAGGTTTGAAAAATACTCGAATGTCCGGTCTTTGCGATCTGAGGATCTTGTCTTCTTAAGTATTCGATTTCAATAATTCACACTTGCGTGAAATATTTTACAAGTTCAATTTAATAATACCTGTGAATTTAATTTACCTTAAATTAAGCTTTTCAATGGCATTTGTATGATAGTCTTGTTTACAAATCGCTTTCTTTTGTACTGTTCTTATTTATAAAGGTATTATTCCATTAAATTTCAGACAATATTTTCGAAACTGCTGTCTGAAAAAAAATTATTTACCATATAATTACCTACCTACCCAACTTGAGATTTTAGGGTCGGGTTAGGGGAAACAAAGATATTCTTAATGATGGCCTAAGATCAATATTTTTATGATGTTCATTCTAAAATTAAGCAATATACTACTGTTCCAGAGAGTCTCCAAAATATTTGTACACCATATGTTGTTATGTTAGTCCCCTACCAGTGAAACGGAGGGGACTACAGGTTTCCCCCTTATCTGTCCATCAGTCTGTCTGTCAGTCTTCGTCACCTGGTTTTCTTGAATTTTTTGTTTTCTATTAAACACTTGCAGATACATGTGTATTTAGCTGATTTTTAGTATATGTGACTGCATATGTACCTTGATAAGTTACAGATCAAGTTTGCAGTTCATTCCACTTTGTTGATTTTTGACAGAATTTATATATATAGCCTTTTTGATTTTTGCAATACTCTCAGAATTGTTATTTTTGAATTTATTGGAGTTTTTTTTTTTTAAACATGCATGATTAAACAATCATTTAAATTTAATTTCAATATAGATGCATGCATGATGGTGGACTGAGGAAGAAAACCAGGATAAAAGAAAATTCCTTGTGTTCGTCAGAAAAAATAAATCATGCAGCCATTTTGAGTGCTTGAATGCCCAACTGAGAGAGCCATGGCAGCCAGTGCTGAAAATATTTCTTGGAAGTTAAACCAAATCTGCTGTGACAATTGAATTAAAGCTTTAAAAGTACATTTAAAAACATACTGATTCATCTATAAGTGAGACTTGATTGCCTTTGACAGTTGCCAGTGGAATTCAGATCTTTGTACCTGTATTAACAGTATTAATATATTGAAGTGATTTGCCTTAAAATTACATTTGTATATGGTGTAATTACCTCAAGGAGATATAACACACCTGGTTAAACAGTAATTAAGGTTCATAGCTAAACATGGATATGGAATTTAGCTTACCTGATCCAAAAGGGAATTAATGACATTGCACAATTCTGATAAAAAGAAGTCTCTGGTATCCAACAATGCAACATTTATATGTTTGACTGTTTGTCCTCCATTAACTTTCAACATTTTCTAAATTTTTTTCTAACATTTGTTCAATGTAAACCACATTTGTACAATGTATCTCTGCTTAAAAGGAATAAAGCTTATTAAAATAAAGGGCTGCATCCTTTTTCAAGGGGAGGTAGATAATGAATAAGTATGAAAAATGGGATAATGTCGTTTAAAAACTTTCATTTTAAGAACTATTTGGTCATATAAGACAAATGTTATCCAAGAGTTTCTTAATGAGCATAGATTCAATTTTTTTCATTGCCGTAGAGCTGCAGAGGGGGTTAAAAGTTTTGCATCGAAATATGTATATGTGAAAAACTAGCAGGTTAACATAAATCAAAGTCATATGCAAACATTACAACATCATATGGATTTAATTTTGTTCAAATTATAGAAATTGGGGTTAGGAAAGGCCTAAAAGTAGGGTTTTCATTTTGCATGTATCTATGTGTCAACATTTAATTTTGTTTAAATTATGGACATTGGGGTTAGAAAAGGACTAAAATTAGGTTTAAATGTTACATGTATACAGGTGTCAACATTTCTCAGGGGAATATGGAGGGGAAAATCTTTGAAAACAATCTTTTTAAGAACAATAGACACAAATGACTCAGGCAAGCATTTTGGGTTTTGGCATCTTCAGTGTACTGGATTTTCACTCATATAATTTTCAGAACATAAAAGTAAACCCTAGCTGTTCTGAAGAAACACAGCGAGTTTGATTTTTTTAAAAATAATAAATGATTTTAATGGAAAAAAATGAATTAAGCTATTGTCATAAAGGTCCAGTTTTCATTTTGAAGTCTTTGTAAGGGTTTTTACCTATTTGAGAAGAAATTTGAATTTGTACTTCGTCGTACGTGGCATGCAAATATCTATATCTATATTAACCAGTATACTACATGCAAATATTGTTCAGACTTAGCTGACTTATTAATGAAATTATTTTGTAAAGATTAAAGTGAGCCTTCTGGTCAGTTTTTTTTTCAAGTTCCAAGTACTTTTTTTAATGAGGTTTTTTTTATCATTTTTTTTATCAAATTTGAAAATATGTAAAGATACATGTATGCACTATTCATATTTCAAATCTCAGTGGAAGTTATGTTTGAGGACCAAAATTGAAATATACATGTATCAGTCTATTTTATTATTTGATCTCCTAGCCTAGCCCGTATTCTTTAATGTGATTAAATATTCTCATTACATAAATGAATTAATAAAGTAAATTTAATTTGTATTCATTTTATGAAATATCTATGTATTTGATTGTGTCGGTCAAAAGTTTTTTTTTTTTTAGAACTTGAAACCAAGCTTAAAAAATTCTGTTTGCATTTGCAATATCCGGTAACATGCCTCAAATTTTAACCAAATTTGCCAAAATCTCCCTGCGACTCTCCTTTAAAACGTGGTGTTTATGAGGAACTAGTGAATTGTATATGAAATTACGTATGGCTGGGGATGTGGTGAAGTTTGAGATTGTGATGGCTGGGGCCATGAAAGTTATTTTATTCAAGGATATAACGCTACCTTATTCAAGGATAAAACGGTACTGAAGGACCACGCGTGGTTTTTTCGAAAAGTCAGGGTACTAAATTTCATGGGTGATATTGAGGATATCAAATCTACATTCGAGAAAGGATTCAGTGACAATGTTAAGCCCCCCCCCCCCCCCTCGCTTCACGTTTTGGGTACTGATATGAGAATCCACCTCCTCCCTTTTTTTCTCAAAATTTCCACTTTGTACGATATACTGATGGAAGGTGTAAAGAAAAGTAATATATTATTTAATAAGGTTGGATACAGGTGGGATTGAACCAGGGCTTTGGAGCACACCCCATTAAAGAAATTTTGGAAATACTTAAGGAACCTATAAAAATCACTTCTTTCTGTCGAGAACACATTGCCAAGTTCACAAATCCACAAAATCTCTTTTCACTAAATTCAATCTTACATGTAATGCTACAGGAGTTGAAGTGCCTTGATTTTATTCATTATTTTAGAATAATTCATCATTTATTTTTTCAAAATGAAAGTAAAAAACAAAGATAATTAAGCACGAGTTTCAGTGCCAAATCGCCTTAAAAAACCAAAAAGTTCAATGAATAACGCATTATCTGAAGACTGGGTATTAAATTAGTGTCCTACCTCTTTTCTATAGAATGTACATGACATTGTATGCATCAAGATCCAGTGGTATTTAAGGGATTTTATCAATGTAGATAACAACTACAATGTTAACAAGTGCAATTTTAATGTGTATCATGGTGTTATACCTATAATATATGTTTTACAAGATTGGCGAAATCGTACTGCATTTCTGAACATCACAGAAATTCTTTTTTTTTTTTTTTGTGACCATGGCAACACCGTTCACTGAAATAAAAAAGTGAAAGAAAGAATTGAGTGTACATGTGTATCTTAGTGTACTCTACATGTATTCCAAGTTTTATTTAAATCGGACAGAACTTTAGGAGGAGAAGCAATTTGAAAATACAAGTAGATTAGACAGTTGAAAGTCCAGACTTACAAATGACGGACAGTACCATTGCATAAAATCTTTCTATCACATAAAATAGACAAGTAGAGCTTAAAACTAGTTAATGCATGCTTTGTTTTGATAGTATCAGTCTTTTCTCTTTAAAGGAAGTATTACTTGTCAATTTATTTGTATTTCTGAGAAGTTTTGTTTTCAGTTTTATTGGATTTCAATGTGAAAAAAAACCCTGCTCGCCCAGAGACGTAACACAAGGCATTAATTTACTGTGGCTGAATGAAATGAGCTTGTTAGACCAGTAGCGTTGGCCTATACATTATAGATTTTAGCAAGAGTGAGTATCTGAGGACCCGGAAATCCAACATCGTTATTTTGGTATATTAAGCTTATACTTTCATGTAAATTTCAAGAAACATTTGTTAAAAAACACTGTTACCCTCTGAATGATGAAACTATCACCGTGTGAAATGTACCCCAAGGACATAAAACCTTCTCCCCTGTCATGCCATTGAGTGACTTTTATCTGAATAATTAAAGTGACACTTTGTTTATTGAATTAAGCCGTTAATTGATATCTATTTGTATTTTTCTCCCTTCCATTAATTCTATTGTTTATTAAAAATATTCCTTTGTATCTTTATATCAATTGTCATATTAGAATATTTGGCAGTTGCAGAGCGGCAGTCAAGGCGCTCGGATCACCGACTCCCGACCTTAATTGCAGATTTTGTTAAATTTTTGGAGTTTCAATAAATTTGTAAAACGGAAACCGACTTATGCAATTTCTCTTGGTCACAAAACCACGCCTTCCAGATAGAATTTAGCAACAGTCAACATTGCTTGACGACGGGTGATATCACCCCCCCCCCCCCAAGACCGCCCGGAATCTATGCGCGAGCGCTTCATCTTTATTTGTATTTGTATAAAACCACGGCCGTACATGTAACTACCATTGAGGCAAGTGAGGCCAATGCCTTAATAAAATTTAAGAGTTTTCTAAAAATTGAAAATGGCTTTACTTTGATCTGAAATTATTTGCGTCTTTGTATTAACATTATAATATTTTCAACTTTACTTTCAATTTCTGTAAATAGACCATCTCACCAGGTGCTTCATTATAGTTTAGAAAGCATGTAAAAAATAATAAAAAAGCTGTGAAAAATTTCAAAGATTAAGTCTTTAATGTACTAAAATCCAGGTTTTGAGACCCCCCGTGAACCCCCATCAGGGCACTACCCTCGACCCCCAGTGGCCCCCAGAATATCCTTGCCTCACTAAAAATTTGAGCTAGTTGCGGCCTTGTAAAACATTCATTATAATATAATAAATACTACATGTAGTAGAGGGTACATGTAACATTTTAAAATTTACAATGTTACCCTCAACTATATACATTCAGTATGTCCATGGATACTAAAATCAAAGATGTTACTTTTTTAATTTATGCGATATGATGGGCCCACTTGTTTCAGACATGCGGGCATTGACCCGGTTCACTTTTATCACATGACATAATGACCCGGTTAGTGTCACTGAAACGATCGAGTGAAACGAACTGAAACTGAAACGAATTCAGCCGGAAAATGCTTGATACTGTTATCGGTGCTGTTGCTGTAATAAATAATTTTCCCTGAGCGCACGAGGACAACGATTTTGTGGATATATCTGCATTTAAATATTTACTAGATCCATTCCATGCACAATCTGTGAATTTGGAGCACAGGGCCTCGTTACAAACAAAACTGAAAAGTAACTTTAAAATTAACAAAAAAAAAGTGTTGGTCGTGCAAATAGAAACAAACATGTTGTAAAAGTTACTTATCATCTCAGTACTGTATGTTTATTGAAACCGAAACTACTGCAAATGATAAAAAACGAATATTTCACCATCAAGAAGATTTCTACCTCAATTTTCCGCGATATTGCTTTTCATCTGCCCGCTCGAAATTTTTCGGGCGATCCGGGCTACTTCTGATCACCCGGCGGCTTAAAAATATTTGAAACAAGTTAATTGCCCGCTTCCGGAAGTATCAACCGGCTTGACCAGGCTTATAAAACAAGTGCGCCCAATGAATTACCTTTAAAACATATCAAAATTGTTCGTCCCTGGCACCTGGCTACAAGCGTGTTTTACTTTGTGTGCAGAGTACACTGCATCTGTTGACAATAGTCACAAGAAGTTCTTCAAAAGCGTGTGTGTTAACACAACAAGTTATGTGATTTGCTGTTTAATTTTAATATTTTTCCATAGGCATAGATGTATATTTAATACCTTTCATAAATGAAATTCAATTCAGTAAACATCGCGCCGTGTCAGCCATATGTGTTTAACGTTACTAGAAAACGTAATTAAGGTAGGTTGCGGGTTTACAGGGGGGGGGGGGGTCACGAGATAACATATAGCGGTAATGAAAATTTTGAAAACGTAGCGGTAATGATACACACCCTCCAAAACATATGACTCGATCTACCCCCCCCCCCCCCTTCCATTTGGCCGACCTATTTTCAATACAAACCCCTTTGATTATTTTTTTTATTTGTAACAACTTTAGTTAAAACGTTTTTATCTCATTTCATTATTTAAAGATTGGAGTTATTACTTAGGGATTTG